CCCCCCCCCCCCCCCCCCAACAAAACAGAAAGAAAAACAGCACCAGTCATAACAACTTACGCTCGTAGTTTCTTGACTTGGATCTGAATGAGGTAAATCCAAAAGCGGATCATCTGAGCTCTCAGAATTGTGTAGTATGTTGTTGTTGCTGCTGTTGTTTGTGTTGTCGCACCAGGTAACACCTGAGTTTCCCTGAATCACTTGGCCACTAACAGCAATGCTCCCATCCAGAGCTGCATTCAACACTGCTGTTTTTAGCAGTGTCTGCCCGGATGTACATGTCTGTATATTTGCTTCCTGTGCTGAACCGGACAGTCTGTTGGCGGGCGTGAGTGTACACTGCGGCGATGAGGTACTCCTCTGACCATGAGATGAAGGTAGTGTCAGACCTGAGTTTGTATTCGTGTGCGGTGCATGAGGTGCATGAGGTGCAAGACCTGCAAAATAGCCATCGCTACTAGATCGAGACAAGTGATGAGACGGCAGCCGGGTGACCTTGGGAGTCCCAGCGTAATCATAAATAAAGTCTGAATGCACAACTGAAGATCCTGTATCGATCTCTCCATTTTCCCCCGGGACAATATTATGAAAATCTGGAACAGATTCGGAATGTCCTTGTGGCACCTGTGACGTCACTGCGTTTGTGGAACTGTTACCATTAGCAGACGCAGTTCTGGCACAACCAGGCTTGCCTTCAGACAGTGATGTCTCCAGGTGTGAGGGGGGATCTGAGGGACTCGGGGTTCTGCTGGTTGCTACTTCACATCCGTCATCAGAGATAGATTTGCAGTTGAGCGTGACAGCCTGTAGACACTGCTGGTGGCAGGTGTACTGGCAAGCTGGTGAAGAGATCAGTAAAACAGATTGTTACTACCACTGACTTCAAAGTAACTACAACTTTTATCATAGAAACAAACAGTTGTAACTACAACTTTTATCATAGAAACAAATAGTTGTAACTACAACTTTTATCATAGAAACAAATATTTGTAACTACAACTTTTATCATAGAAACAAACAGTTGTAACTACAAATTTTAACATAGAAACAAACAGTTGTAACTACAACTTTTATCATAGAAACAAACAGTTGTAACTACAACTTTTATCATAGAAACAAATAATTGTAACTACAACTTTTATCATAGAAACAAACAGTTGTAACTACAACTTTTATCATAGAAACAAACAGTTGTAACTACAACTTTTATCATAGAAACAAACAGTTGTAACTACAACTTTTATCATAGAAACAAACAGTTGTAACTACAACTTTTATCATAGAAACAAACAGTTGTAACTACAACTTTTATCATAGAAACAAACAGTTGTAACTACAACTTTTATCATAGAAACAAACAGTTGCCACAGTGACCAGTTATTTGAGTGCTTACTCAACAATTCATACTCCGGAGGGAATAAATGCTAATAGGACCACAACTTTCTTCTTCTTCTCCTCCTCCTTTTCTTTTTTTTCTTCTTCATACACCCTTAATAGTCAGATGAGATGGTAAATTGTGTTGCGGTTTACAGCTAGGCTTTTCTGTTTAACATATCCAATTTCAGCACACTCCTAATTAGTCAACCAAATATAAGTTGGGGGCAGTGGGTCCTAAAATGGGGCCCTGGAACCCAGAAGAGAATAGGACCACCTTCATCTGTAGGGACCAACAGAACACCAACTGTTTACTAATTCACCATCAATCAATTAAGTTCTGACAAGTGGAAAGATTACTGTTCTTCTGAAAAGGCAGCTTATGTAACATGCTTCAGAGCTTTATTTTGTGTTTCCTTCACATTGGAGTAAGTCGATGCAAATGCTTCGTAATGCCGGGGTGCCGGGTTTGATCCCAGCTGCGGGCCATGCGTCGTGCGTTGCTTTCGACAGTGGTATCAAGAAGCTGACCGTCCAGAAAGCAATGGCAAACTACTGGATGTAAATTTGTCTAGAGAAACCACACAACAGCCAGGGGCTGCTGAGGTTGGTTCTGCAACGTCCTGACGATCATGATGCCTTGGACTGTACAAAAGGAGGGGGGGGGGGGGGACAAAACAGGTTATAGAACTGAGAAATTTCTAGGAGCAGATGATTCAGCATTAACAAAATATTACAATGATACAAACTCACATCAAAAAGTACAACACACCCGCTACTAAAACAAACTGTCTTTGCTTCCCAGCAAGGTCAGAGCCAAAACAGGAAATAAATCAATTCTTATACCGGATTTACCTTGGGAAGACAAGAACAGACATCCCCCCCCCCCCAATCCTTATTCTTTTGATTGTGTACAGGCAAGCACCTAAATATATCACATGTACCCATGGCTAGGTCATCGTGGTGTAGGGGCTAGAGGCTTGCCTCCTGATCGGAAGGTCATAGGTTTGGGTCCTGGCGGAGCTGGACATTTCTTTTTTTTTAAGGCTGTGGCTCCTAAGTCTACCAAGCCTTGAGTGGCTATCAGGTGCAGTCCTGGGAGGTGGCCGGTGAGAAGCTGACCACATCACCCACCAAGTGCTAAGGTCTATAAAATACAGGGCTAGCCCAATACGCCTGAAGGCATGGAAAAGGGTCCTTTACCCCCCCCCCCCCCCCCCCAACGACTAGGCTTTATTTATATAATATGAAGGGAGTTGCTTAGCGGGAAGATTAACCCTGATAACAAATGCCCAAAGAGGGCTAGTTGTGTATACATGACAAGAGAGCTTAGTATACTTCGCAGCTTAACTTTGGAACGATCTTCCACAAAACAGAATACTAGCTGGATGAATATTTTCACACCTCTTTTAACTCATTTAGTCCAGGAGACGAAGCACATTTGGTGGTGCACCAGGAGGGGATGCCCACTTGGTGGTGCACCAGGAGGGGATGCCCACTTGGTGGTGCACCAGGAGGGGATGCCCACCTAGAGGTGCAAAAGAAGGGGATACAAACCTGGTGGTGACATGAGGGTGGGCCCATTTTGGTTAGGACCTATCTACATCTCTCGGTGATCATCCTAGAAACAGGTTCACAATCAGGAGCCTGCACAATATAGAGAGATCAACATTTCCTCTTAAGCTTAAGTGCATCTGCCTAAAAGGCAAGGAACCAACAGTCTGCATATAAATAAGTTACATATGTAAAACAGATGTGCGTGCAACAGTCAAGTCCTGGAACAAAGAATGTCCAGACGTGAATGAGAAACCAGGACATCCTGCTTGAATTTACAACCGGTGAACGCTCAGAAGAAGCATCTATTCTGAAGGAGCCAAATCAACACAAGAAATGGCAGGACCAAACTGTTTTGGCAGGCAAGTATACAAATCACAGTGTCACAACAATTTGATGATCCATTCAGTCATCTTTTTTTTTCACGTTCCCCGGCTGTAAACTCTGGCGGACAGTTCTGGCTTTTCATGCAGTTCTGAACTGTAGTCTTGTTATTCAATCTGAGTACTACGTGCATATCCCTTTTACAGATATGTATTTGTATGCAGACTGATGGTTCCTTGCCTCTCAGACAGATGCACTCCAACTCTGAAGGAAGCCATCCAGTTAAAAGACTTTTACGACATGCTTGTTTGGGGAAGCAGTGGGTCTATTCTTTTTTCCCCATACTGGGACCCCAAAACCCATATGAAGGAAGGAACAAACTTTATTTTCAAAGAGTCAGGCATAAATTGGGCACGCAAGCCCGTCTTACATTCAGCCCTTCCAAAACCCATCTTTAACACAGCAGTTGTATTTTATCAATAAAGCATGTTATGTTCTTATAATAATATGCATATCATGAATATCAAGTAAAAACACAAAAGCAGGGGTGGTAAAATGTATGCACACACTCGCACGCACGCACACACACACACCCACTCACTCACTTACATACATCCCTGTGTGGGTTCTGGGACCCCACTATGGGAAAAACAAGAACAGACCCACTGCCTACCCAAAAGAATGTCGTAAGAGTCAACTAATTGGAAGCTTCTTTCGAAGTCGGAGTGCATCTGCCTAAAAGGCACGGAATCAACAGTCTGCACACAAATAAGTCAGACCTGTTAAACATATGCACACGCAACCCTCAGGTTTTGAAACAGGACTGCAGTCCAGAAGTGGACGAACAACCAGAACTTTCCGCCGGAGTTAACAGCCGGTGAACACGCAGCCACACCATGGGGAAATCTAGGAGTCGATTTCTGCAGTCGGCAGTTTATTTACACCATCAACAACAACAGCAGCAGCAGCAACAGCAACAACAGCAACACACACACACATACAAACCATTCTATTTCTTTCTTGGTTATAGTACAAGAATCCCATTGTGGAAGAGGTTCGGGTCTCACCATGTAATGTTCTCAAAGACAGCAATGGGTACACTTCTTCTTCTTCAATTCCTCTTTTACCGCTGTGGGTGTCGAGGGAGATATAAGGTTATGTTTCTAGCTCTTCTGGCCTCCTCGACCATAGGCACATCGTGCTGTTGTAGAGTTTCTCTGATGTTATCCTTCCATCTTGTTCTTGGTCTACCCCATGCTCTACGTCCTTCTTCTCTTTCCATGTATGCTTTGTATGGTATGGTGTCACAAGGCATTCTCTCTAAGTGGGCAAACCATTTCACTTGCTGTCTTTGTATGTAATCCAGAAGTAGTTCTGTGCCGACTTGTTCTCTTATGATCTCATTCCTGATTTTATCTCTTATGGTAACTCCTACAGCCCTTCTCAGACATCTCATTTCCATGGTTACTAATTCTCTTTTATGGTTTCTTGTGAGTGACCATGTCTGGCAAATATACGTTTTTTTTTTTTAAACTGTCACTGGAAACTGTTCCTGGCTGCCGACAGATTTTAACATCTAATAAATATTGTTACAACTTTTGCTAATACATCAACTGTTTCGAACTCTCTGTATGGGTTCTGGGGACCCCATTGTGGGGGAACAACAAGAACACACCCACTGCCTTCCTACAGCATGTCCTTCAAAGTCGGACTGCATCTGCCTGAAAGGCAAGCAACCAATAGTTTGCATGTAAATAAGCCAGATCTGTAAAATGGATGTGCACGCAAAACGAAATTTCTGAAACAATTCTCAAGTCCAGAAGTGGATGAACAACCAGAACTTTCCGCTAGAGTTTACAGCCAGTGAACACAAAGAAGAAAAAGAAACTACTTCTAACAAATCAGACGATTAATCAAAAACAGATCAGCCATACGCAGGGAGTTGCTTAGCAGGGAGACTAACCCTGATAACAAATGCCCAACAATGTCGGATGTGTTGGTCGAAAGGTGCAAATATCACGGGTAAGCTGTAAACATGCACAACACATGATAAATAAGGTCAGTCATTTATCTGAAAATGAGACGTCCAACTTAAATTATTCATGCATATAAACTTATTTGTCTATCCTTTTCAGGATGCTGCAGAAGCCAACCCCAGCCTTTTTTGTTTTAGCTGTTGTGATTTTTCTAGGCAATTCACATTCAGTAGTTTGCCACTGCTTTCTGAACGGTTCAGCACTCAGTACCACTGTCAAAACCAACGCAAGACACATCATCCACAGCTGGGATGAAACCCAGAACACCCCAGCATTACGAAGCGCGCCTGCAGCCCCTAGACCACAGAAGCGACATGCATATAAGTAAAAAAAAAGTAAAGGACCCTTTTCCACGCCTTTAGGCGTATAGGGCATATAGGGCTAGACCTATATTTTTATTGACCAATCAGCACATGATGGGTGATGTGGTCAGCATCTACTTCCCGGGACTGCACCTGGTACCCACTCAAGGCTGGGTCAACCTGGGAGCCAAGGTCATTTTTTTAAAATAGTCCGGCTCCGCCAGGGAGCGAACCCACGACCTTTCAGAT